TCTAGTAGGTTTAGGTTGCAGATAAATTAGATTAAACTAAGTAGTCTTAGTATATCTATAGTCTGAGTCTCATTCTTGTAAATAATTTGTAAACTTGACCTTTGGTCAAAGAAACCTTTTGTGGATTCTTAATACAAATTATAATAAAGATAAAGTCAAAACCTCACCTTAAAAAAAATATATAATTAATTTTTTATTTTTAGTACACAAAAGAATATTTATATATTACACTTGATCTTAAATTTGAATTAATTACAATACTCTAATACTATAAAATAAATTCTTTCTACTTTTTTTATTTGTAATTTTAGATTTTATTATACTGAATTTTTGTCACATGTTTTGTAATATAATCTTATATATGATATGTGAAATATGCATTAGAATCATCTTATGAGATGTACAATATATTTCTATCATACTTATTGTATTTTAGTGATGAATAAATTATTACCTAAATCATTTCTATATAAAATCATACCATCAATAGGTTATATATATAAATATATTATTAATTATATAAAATAATTTATTTAAATGTTACAAAAAATTTTATAATACTTATTCAGATCTATATGATGTATATTGGTCAAACAAATAAAAAATATTATACATTTAATTAAACATTAGTCATGAATAGACAAAATAATTCAGAAATCAGAAAAAATACAAATTCTTAATATAATAAATCAACTGAGAAATACATTTTATCTATATTGTAGAAATATCTTTTTGATAAAAACAATAATCTTTTATAGTATTTTTGATTATTAAAATCAATGCTATGTATTGAAAATGGTTGAATATTAAATTATTTATTAATGATGGTCTAGAACTAATAAGAAAAGAAACAATAAAAATTTGATTCTTGATTTTTTTGACTTTACTTGTTTGCTATTTATATGTCATTTCAAAAATTACATCTATAAATTACTATACAGCTATTATGCATTAAGAAATTCAAGTTTTTATAAAGTGTAATCTTTCTCTAAATCCAAATTTTTTAATTTTTTAACAGTGAATACATTAAGGTGTAACAGCTTCTAAAAATATTTGTTATATTAAATAATACTTAGTAAGATAAATTTATCATTATATAAAGCTTTAATTATTACTTTTGATTTGATTTTATTTTAATTAATATTTAATAACAGAATTGCAAGTCTTTTTATTTTAACACTAGGTCTCAGGCCTGAAAGTTGCTTCAGATTTAAGTCTTAGTTAATCTAAAAACTAGATTTGGGATTACTTTGGGTTTAAACCTTATTTTTTCTAAGTTTTTAGATTTAAGTTTTGTTAATAATTTATAGAATAAATAGATTAGTTAACAAAAAAATATTTCAAGCTTTATAGTTAGATAATATGTTTTAAAGCATCTAAAGACTTAATAATTATATATAAAAGAAAACTAAATCTTAGATTAAACAGCATTTAAATATACAAAAGTCAGATACTATTTATCTAATATAGTATAAAAATCAAAGTATTTAAATAGACAATCTCTTAGTAAATTATAAACATAATAGCTAATATAGAACCTATAAGCAAACTTTTTAAATAAGTAACTAAAAGTTATATATATAGCTAGTTGTATACTTACCTTGTACAAGTAATATATAATATATAATTAAAAACATATAAAGGCAATAGTTATCATAAATATTAACTTTAGCAAAAACAAAAAAAAATTAAAATATCTATTAAAATATCAATTATAATAAATTTGTATATAAGTTTGTTAAAAATATTTAAACAACTATATAATACAATTTAATAAAGTAATATATTTAAATTTTTTAAATTCTTAAAATTCAAGTAAAAAGATTATTAAATTTTATGAATTAATTACTATAATATATTTAATCAAACTTTTAAAATATATAATTTACAAAATTATAGATAATTTAATTTTTTTTACAACCAAATAGTCTTTTTTGTTAATTATTCTATTATCTAACTAATTATTATTTTTTTTTAGTTGTGTCTATAATTATTAACTTATTTAACTTATTTCAAATAATTCTTCTACTAATTTTTAGCTTAAATTTAGAAACTATTAAAACTTTATATAACTTTTTATAAATAAATTAACTAATAAGATTTATAAAGTTATTTATATAAATTAGTTTAAAAATAAAAAAACTGAAGATGGTAATCTTAGTATAGTAGTTGGGTTATTATCCTCCAAGTGGCAAGTCTAAGATTCAAATCCCACCTATAATAAAATTTGGAAATTATATCTGTGTTATAATAACTGTCTCTTGTTAATTAGTTGGCCTTATATAACTGTAACCCAGATATATCAAGTCAAATCCTACTGACATTGAAAACTCAGAGCATCTATATGAAATGTAATATTACATGTATATAGAGGAATATATAACTAGTATTATATAATATTTTAGTACAAACTTATGATAAGACCACCAAGCATAGAAGACTAAGAAACCAAGATAACAAAAACACATTTAGAAATTTCTGAATAAAAAGATAACATAAACTTTTGATAATGCTGTTGAACTAATAGAAGCTTATGAAACACCTAATAGTAACAAACAAATAAACTAAATGTCAAGATGTATAGAAGAACACATGACCAACCAGACTACTAGATTCACCAGAGAAAAAGAATATTAAGCTATACTATATTAGGTCATCTGAATTGGAATTCTAGAGAGTCTGTCAGTTCTGAGTTGTAGTTAGTAGGTGATAATGAAAAAAAGATTAAAAAGATAGGTATTGGGGTTTAAATGAACTTTATAAGGATAAAATAGTATAATGTAGTAGTTTAAAATTAGCCCTAACTGCAAGTGTTAGGTAACTATAATGTGTTATATAAAACTATGTTAGCTGTGTGTGAGATATAGAAGACTCTAGTAATAATGTTTCTAAAGATATGCTGCATGAAATAAGATATGAGATCCTAAGGATATAGGTAAACATCTAGACCTTCTCGACTGACTTACATAATGGAAATGATCTAGTAATACAGTAAGAATTGCAGTATAGAAGGTTTAAATAGGCAATGCCTCTAGTTGGGTTGCAGGTATGACAACTAGTATAGAACCATCAGTGAACTACTTAATTAGACACCAAAAGTGTACATGTGATTAGTTGTACTCTCTAATGTAAGGAGACTCCTTTGAGGCCTTGGCCATGAGTCTCTATATCCTAACTACTGAATAAAAAGCCCCAACCCTAAGAGAGGCTAGTTTAATTAAAAAAAAATAAAAAAATAAAAAATAAAAAACTACAGAAATATGAAAATAGCAGTTTAAACCTGTCTTAGCACATTAATTAAAAATGTCAAAAAGGCAATTTTATCTATATATATTTACACTTATCCTAAACACTAAATCAATTCTAACCTTAATTATAATTAAAATTTCAAAATTTATAGGTACAAATGTTTTAGTAATTACTAAAAAAAAGAATACTATCTAAAATATTATGTATAGCAATACTAAAAATAAATAAATTTCCGAATAAGTAAAAGTTAATATTTTCAGATTAAATAGTTAAAACTTTAATTTTTAGTGTTGTGCAAGTACTACATGAATTTCAAATCAAATTTCAAAAAATTTAGAGCAAATTTGCAAGAGAAGCGGTTTAAGGGATAATTTAAGTATAATGCAGGTCAAATAAACGAATTAACCTCACCATATAGAAACCTATGCAGAAGAAAGAACCACGTACCCCAAAAATTTTTGGTAGTGAGACATTTTATTTGACAATACAATTGTTTGAAAGAATGAGTGAAAGGTTTATTTTCAATTACTCATAACGATAACAATGTCAAATAGCATGTAAGTTAAACGATAATCTCATGGGTTTTAAGATAATTTAATGGGTTTGATGCATATTCATTAATGCTTCTTGTGGAATCGTGCAGAATAGACCCTTATTAAATCAAAAAAATCTTCCTAATAATCGTCAGACCAATTAAAAAAAAATTTAAATAATTGGTTTAAACAAAATTTAGCTATTCTATTCAGGGTCTAATATTGCCGATTAGCCCATATGCTTTAGAGAACCAAAGAATAACAATGCATACTCCATATTTTGGCCAAACTCCACAGAATACCTCTGATAAATAATATATGTTTAAATCACTCCGTGGTAATGAATGGCTTATTGTTGTCCCAAATAATTCTTGGCAATTGATTTTTAAATTAAATTAAAATTCCTGCATAAAGTAAAAATAATTGCAAAAAATTATGGATTAAGATTGCTTGATCACGTAACTTATAATTAGACCCTTTACCCCTTAAAATTAAGTAACAAGGCCGCTATTAAGTAAATATTTTGTTCACAATAGAAGTAAAATTAGTGCTTAATGGTTGTACTATAGTTCTTCCAAGATTGTAACACTGGATGAGCTAATTGAATATTAAGATTATCCGGATCCAAGCAATAGAAGAAAGAACCAAATATTTGGCTTAGATTAAAGGAAGAAAGAAAGGTGTATCGTATCTGAGTTATAAAATTAGAAAGATTTCATTCTTAAAAGCTCACTCCTTGAAGAATTTAATAACTTTTAAAGACTTAAAACTGTGAAGACAGAAATGTATAAAAGAGTTGTATTTTCGGCTTAGAAAAGGATTGAGCGAACAGATTAAAAATATTAACTTTGATAAATTTAATAAAAAAAATCCTAAATTTTACATGTCAAAAAACTGTCACAGTCCGTTTTGGCATTATTCATTATATTTCAACTTATAAGCTATAATTGTTTGTGTATGGCATAATTTTTTTTAAATGATTTCTAGAGATTGTTAAGAGACATTTTCAACTTTAACATATTTTTGACATCACCTATTTAAATATTTATAATGATTGTGAAGCATATTTTAAGTTTCTCACTAATCCTATTAATTTCGACTGTTTATAAGTCAGTCACAGTTAACATTAATGAAGATCTCATGATTCGTTCTGCAAAACCGATTAAAAACAAAACATGGGAGAATTGGAATGGAGAAATTTATATTTCACCGAGTTCCATTTTTGAACCGTCTACGCTTGAAGACCTTATTGATATTGTAAAATTAGCAAAGACAAAGAATAAAACTATTCGATGTGCTGCCCAAGGGCATACCGTAAGTTCTCTGTCTGTCACAAAGAATTACCTAGTGGTAGTTACAAATTTAAAAAAGATTACAATACAAAAACATCCAAAATATGGCTGGACTGTCACTGCAGAAGCAGGTAAATATTTATACATATACAGTTAAACCTCCCCAAATACTCTAAAGTCTGGCAATTTGCATTTAAAAACAATAAAAAAATTACATTTATAAGAATCTAGTATATGTTTGGACTAAAGATTACATTTAGAGAAGTGTTGCATTTAGAGAGTTGAATTCAGAATTGTAAAATTACGGTAATTTATCGTTAAGTTATCAAAGTGGTAACTTACTGGTAACTTACTGGTAACTTTTTAGAAGTTGTTACAATATATTAGATATTTCGGAATCAAAATTACTAGTTAATATATCATATCAATATTGATTTCTAATTTTTGTTTATGAATTTTTTAAAGTTATTCGTTAATGCATATTATTTGTTACAGTCCCCCTATTATGGTTTATTTTTCATATGCATGCCTATGTGCGGATCCAATTAAATTACTGTATTTCAAAAAATTAAGTAATTTAATTGGATCCGCACACGTGAATATATATGAAAAATAAACACAACGACTTGGTATTAAAAATTTTATAGTAACTTACTGGTAACTTAACATTATAAGTTACCATGGAAAGTTATCCTTGTACACACTGGTCTAACTGTATATTCATTCGTGACAAAGATAATATATAAAAGTGAATTGCCGTATTATTTGATTAAAAATAGGTACACCATTATCTGATCTCGATAAAACACTCCGAAATCATGATCCGCCATTGACTCTTGATTCTGAAGCTTTCATTGACATATTTCGAGTATCTGGTGTTGTTGCAGTAGGAGCACATGGTTCAAAGACCAGTTCAGGCATTATGTCAGATCAACTTTGCTCTATGAAAATTGTCACAGGGTCTGGCGAAGTATATGAATTTAGTAAAGAAATAAGCCAATCTGAATTCAATGCAGCAAAAGTCAATTTAGGTATCTATTAAGCCTTTGTTTTAATTATTTCTTTTCATTCGCTATTTGACTTTATTATTGTTTAGGTTTACTTGGTATGATCTATTCATTGACTTTTCGCGCACAACTGATGTACAATCTTCGCGTGACTGACGCATATGCACCAATAACCGAATGGTTTAATCCACAGACTATTAAAAACCTTTTAGACTCATCAGATGCTATTAAACTGCATTATTATCCATTTAATGGATTCAATCAGAGTGACCCGAATCCACTTGACCCTAATAAAGACCTAGTTTTGGTTGAGAATTTTGTACGAACTGATGAATCTGTGAGCTTCACACAACAACAGATCGAAAAATTGCGTGAAACTCAAATACAGGATAATATTAACCAGAAGAAGCTCTTTAAAAGTCTCTTGCAAAACCCTGAGGCAACACCGAACGTTTCTTCCACAATATGGAAAAGTATTACTAGTAATGGTAATACTAGTTTTGTATTTCAAGCACCTGATGCATTTCATTTAATAGCTGGTTATGAAATCGTCAAGACTCATTTGACAGAAATTAGATTCAAAGTTGATCCGGATTTTTCCAATGTCGCTACCGAATTTTCTCATGTAATTCAAACAGTGAGTTTATCTAATATTTTATTTCTAATATTTTGTTTCCATATATGCGCGTAATAACGCACATCTGTGTGTTATTTCGAGCACCTGCGAGTTACTTCGGGATATCACTCTGGGACGTGCGTTGTTACTCGCTTATACCGTAGTTTATTTTCATTGGCTTTATAATGATTTATTATATTTGTAGCTATATGAATTTGCAAGAAAAGGAAAATTTCCACTAAATCGTATTTTAGTTATTAGAATAATAAAATCCACTAAAGCATTACTATCTAATACCTTTGATAATGATCCAAAAACCTTGTATTGTTCTATGGATTTTGAGTCAGTTATCGGTACACCAGGATGGAAAGAATTTATGCAATTAATAGCTCAGAGATATTTTGATAAATACAAAGCAAAGTAAGAAATTATTAAAAATTTTCTTTACAACAAAATTTATCAATGAACTAATAGTATATAAACTTATTCACTAAAGACCTCATTGGGGAAAACAATGGGAATTTATTCCAAATGTGAGATCTTATCTTTCCGATGTTTTATCAGATCAAATTAAACAATTTGAGAAAGTACGAGCAAAGTATGACCCTGATAAAATTTTCTTTGATAATAAGTCTTTACAGGATATCTTTAGTTGTGCTTTATATTCATCGAATTGTAAATGCTCTAGGAAGAATAAAAATTAATGAGGATAATAAGATTAGTTTGTACCGAACAATATTATGTAGAATTAAAAATCGAACGTAAACTTTGTGAGAAAATTTTTATTAATGTAGAATAACAAAGTTGTTTATGATAATATTTGATTTAGATAAATATAGTTAATAGGATTGATCTTTTTGTATTCTGATATTATGAGATTAATGCGATACTACCGACATAATACATCCGGTTATATGTAAGGAACTTTAATGTACAATGTCAACATGTAAAATAGCATTGAATAAATGTTATTTTGTGTTTTGTTCGAGGGCAAATTTGCAAGAGAAGCGGTTTAAGGGATAATTTAAGTGTTATGCAGGTCAAATATACCGAATTAACCTCACCATATGCAAAACTATACAGAAGAAATAACTCCGTACCCCAAAAATTTTCGGTAGTGAGACAGTTTATTTGACAATATAATTGTCTGAAAGAATGAGGAAAGGTTTATTTTTTTAATTACTCATAACGATAATAATGCCAAATAGCATGTCTCAGTAGTCAAGGCTAGTAAGTTGAACGATAATCTAATGGGTTTTAAGATAATTAATGGGTTTGATGCATATTCATTAAATACTTCTTTTAGAATCGTGCAGAATAGACCCTTATTAAATCAAAACAATCCCCCTAATAATTCGTCAGACTAATTAAAAAACCTTAAATAATGGGTTTAACCGAAAATTAGTGACTTTATTCTGGCCTAATTTTACCGATTAGGTCATATGCTTTAGAGAAACCAGAGAATAACAATGGATACTTCGGATTTTGACCAAACCCCATAGAATGCATCTGATAAGTTGCCTTCCCTAAAGTTCGTTAATAATATAAGTATATGTTTAAAATCACTCCGCGGCACTGAATGGCTTATTGTTGGCTCAAAATAAATCTTGATAATTGATTTTTAAATTAAATTAAAATTCCTGTATAAAGTAAAAAATGTGCAGAAAATAATGGATTAAGATTGCTTGATCACGTAACTTATAATAAGACCCTTTACCCCTTAAAATTAAGTAACAAGACCGCTATTAAGTAAATCTTTTGTTCACAATATAAGCTAAATTAGTTCTTAATGGTTGTAATATAGTTCTTTTAAGATTGTAACACTGGATGAGCTAAATGAACATTCAGATTATTCGGATCCAAGCAATAAAAAAAAGAACCAAATATTAAAGGAAGAAAGAAAGGTGTATCATATGTGAGTTATAAAATTAGAAAGATTTCATTCTTAAAAGCTCACTCCTTGAAGAATTTAATAACTTTTAAAGATTTTAAACTGTGAAGAAAGAAATGTATAAAAGACTTGTATTTTCGGCTTAGAAAAAGATTATGCCATCAGATTAAAAATATTAACTTTGATAAATTTAATAAAACAAATTCCTAAATTTTACATGTCAAAAAACTGTTACAGTCGTTTTGGCATTATTCATTCTATTTCGACTTATAAACTATACTTTTTGGTGTACGGCATAATTTTTTTTTAAATGATTTCTAAAGATTATTAAGCGACATTTCAACTTTTAACACATTTTCCTATTTAAATATTTATAATGATCGTGAGGCATATTTTAAGTTTTTCACTAATCCTGTTGATTTCGACTGTTTATAAGTCAGTCACAGTTAACATTAATGAAGATGTCATGATTCGTTCTGCAAAACCGATTAAAAACAAAACATGGGAGAATTGGAATGGAGAAATTTATATTTCTCCAAGTGCCATTTTTGAACCGTCTACGCTTGAAGACCTTATTGATATTGTAAAATTAGCAAAGGCAAAGAATAAAACTATTCGATGTGCTGCCCAAGGGCATACCGTAAGTTCTTTGTCTGTCACAAAGAATTACCTAGTGGTAGTTACAAATTTAAAACAGATTACAATACAAAAGCATCCAAAATGTGGCTGGACTGTCACTGCAGAAGCAGGTAAATATTTATACATATACAGTTAAACCTCCCTAAATACTCTAAATGATGGCAATTTGCATTTAAAAAACAATAAAAAAATAACATTTATAAGAATATAGTATATATTTGCCCTAATTGTAACTTACTGGTAACTTTTTTATAAGTTATTACAATATACTAGATATTTCGAACTCAAAATTAAATATCATACCATTATATTGATTACTAAATTTTAAGTTTATAAAGTTATTCGTTAATTAGCATATGATTTATTACAGCCCCATGCATGCACATGTGGATCCAATTAAATTTCTATATTTCAAAAATCAGGTAATTTAATTGGATCTGCATACGTGAATATATGTGAAAGATAAACACTGTAATTTGGCATTAAAAATTTTATAGTAACTTACTGGTAACTTAACATGTAAGTTACCATGGAAAGTTACCCTTGTACACACTGGTCTAACTGTATATTCATTCGTGACAAAGATAGTATAAAAAAGTGAATTGCGTATTATTTGATTAAAAATAGGTATATCATTATCTGAACTTGATAATGCACTCCGAAATCATGATCCGCCATTGACTCTTGATTCTGAAGCTTTCCTTGACATATTTCGAGTATCTGGTGTTGTAGCAGTAGGAGCACATGGTTCAAAGACCAGTTCAGGCATTATGTCAGATCAACTTTGCTCTATGAAAATTGTCACAGGGTCCGGCGAAGTATATGAATTTAGTGAAGAGATAAGCAAATCTGAATTCAATGCAGCAAAAGTCAATTTAGGTATATATTTAGCTTTTGCTTTTGATTATTTCTTTTCATTCGCTATTTAGCTTTATTATTGTTTAGGTTTACTTGGTATTATCTATTCATTGACTTTTCGCGCACAACTGATGTATAATCTTCGCGTGAATGACGTATATGCACCAATAACCGAATGGTTTAATCCACAGACTATTAAAAATCTTTTAGATTCATCAGATGGTATTGAAATGAATTATTACCCATTTAATGGATTCAATCAGAGTGACCCGAATCCTCTTGACCCTAATAAAGACTTAGTTTTGGTTAAGAATTTTGTACGAACTGGTGAATCTGTGAGCTTCACACAACAACAGATCGAAAAATTGCGTGAAACTCAAATACAGGATAATATTAACCAGAAGAAGCTCTTTAAAAGTCTCTTGCAAAACCCTGAGGCAACACCGAATGTTTCTTCCACAATATGGAAAAGTATTATGAGTAATGGTAATACTAGTTTTGTATTTCAAGCACCTGACACATTTCATTTCATAGCCGGTTATGAAATCGTCAAGAATCATTTGATAGAAATTGGATTCAAAGTTGATCCGGATTTTTCCAATGTCGCTGCAGAATTTTCTCATGTAATTCAAACAGTGAGTTTATCTAATATTTTATTTTTCTAATATTTGTTACCATATGTGCGTAATAACCACATCTGTGTGTTATTTCGAGCAACTGCGAGTTACTCCGGAATATCACTTTGGGATGTGCGTTATTACGCGCTTATACGGTAGTTTATTTTCATTGGTTGTATAATGACTTTATTATATTTGTAGTTATATGAATTTGCAAGAAAAGGAAAATTTCCACTAAATCGTGTTTTAGTTATTAGAATAATAAAATCCACAAAAGCATTACTATCTAATACCTTTGATAATGATCCAAAAACCTTGTATTGTCATATGGATTTTGATTCAGTTATTGGTACACCAGGATGGGAAGAATTTATGCAATTAATAGCTCAGAGATATTTTGATAAGTACAAAGCAAAGTAAGAAATTATCAAAACTTTTCTTTACACCAAAATTTTATTAATTAACTAATTGTATATAAACTTTTTCACTAAAGACCTCATTGGGGAAAACAATGGGAATTTATTCCAAATGTGAAATCTTATCTTTCTGATGTTTTATCAGATCAAATTAAACAATTTGAGAAAGTACGAGCAAAGTATGACCCTGATAAAATTTTCTTTGATAATAAGTCTTTGCAGGATATCTTTAGTTGTGCTTTATATTCATCGAATAGTAAATGCTGAAGGAAGAAGAAAATTTAATGATGATAATAAGATTAGTTTGTAACCTAACATTATTACGTAGAATTAAAAATCGAACATAAAGTTTGTTAGAAAATTTTTATTAATGTAAAATAACAAAGTTATTTATGATACTAATTGATTTAGATAAATATAGTTAATACAGTAGGATTGATCTTTTGAATATTACTGTATGAAATTAATGCCATATTACCGGTATAATACTGTACATCCGGTTATATGTAAGGACCTTTAATGCGAAATGTCAGAATGTGAAAATAGCACTAATAAATGTTATCTATGGTTTGTTCGAAGCGAAGTTGCTCTAGAGACAATAATATGACGTCAATTGTTGTGCAGGAGCACGTACTGAATATTCGATACTTAAATATACTCATTACGTGCTGAACCTTTATTTAGAAGTCAAGCTGTCTTTTGTGTACTAACAAAAAAATTTCTTGCAATATTTTGCTATAATAGCATCTATTAATTTTGAACTTTTAAAGGATAAAATGACATGTAATTTGGTGCGAATAATTCTCGTGTTCGATTCGAGACAAAGCGCTGCTCCAATACTCATGTATCAAGCTGCTAATATAACTATGTTTTTTCATAACACTTGACGAGTGACATAACACCTAACATGTGCCATAACACTTGACATGTGCATAATATTTGACTCATGTCATCATTTTTTGACTTATGCTATAATATAGAGAAAAATTTGCAGAGCAATTTTTCTACTGTGTTTCAGGAATTATAAAAACGGCTGATAAATGTAACTATTTTTTATTGTTGGAACTTTTTATATTGTTGTAACTAAGTTATGACAAAAATCAATTATTATACTTAGTACAGTCAGGGATTTTACTAAATTAGGAAATCACATTCTAGAATGATCTTTGTGTCATTCCATGAATTTGATTGGCCGTGAAACATTTTTTATCATCGTAGGATCTTTTGATATTTTATTTATTTATTCAATATTAAACGATATACGAATAGCTAATATAAGATGTCTACTTTGAATAATCCCATTTTATCCCTTGCAATAAACTATTATAAAAAAGGTAAATGAAAACTAACTTCTTCTAGTTAATAAATAAAAAGGTTTAAATTTTGTTGTGATTAAATGTGATTGGTCAATTACATGTGATTTTCGTACAACTAAATGATCTAGAATCATGTGATCAACATTTCTATACTATACAAGGTGCGATCTACACTGTCCATTTTTGGTAAAATCCCTGACTGTAGTAATGTACCATGTGAAATGTGTGCTAGTGTTATAGGCAAATCCGGTTCTAGGACCTTGGAAAACCGTCGTGAACTAACCCACAAACGTCACACAAACAATAATGCCCGTAACCCAGAAGAATCAAACGACAACCCCTCCCCCTGCAGCAAGCCCATTGGATCTAGGTTCCTCTAATTAAGTGACAGCGCCGATCCTATAGAAAAGCCACCTGCCGGTTCGGTTTGACACCTGTCAGGTAATACTGTCTTGTCAGGTAAAGTATGTAACCGTGTGCGTGCGCCGCCATGTGCTAGTTTGATAGTCGTCACTGGAGGAGTAAAACTCAATGAAAAATGTTATTAGAACGAAGGCTGGACTGCAAAAGGGGACAAATGTTAGTTAGAAAATGGTAAAACGGTTTATATGAATGAGAAAAGCGTGCACAAGCCATGTTAGAAGTGTTTGAGATTCCCTTCTTATTTTTCTCGTAAATTTCTTATAAATACGGATTAGTTTATCCTTGAAAAATACAATTCCCTACTCTTAGAAAATAATAATAATACTAATAAAAGTTCTTAAAATCGGTTTCCAAATAAAAGACTAATCGTAAATAAATGCTCTTTAAAAACCCCACGTACTTGTAACGATACTTGGAAGTCGCCTTAAAATATTGCCCAAATCAATTCCGCCTCGCCCTTGCTTTCGAGTGACGTTACACGACGTCGACGATTTCAAAGCGACATCATCGCATTTCTTCTCCTACAATTTGGTGGTGTGTCGACTCAATAAGCCCGTGACACTAGGTTTATCTCGCACGAGGTACATATCTAATTATGATACATTATCACTGCATTTTTGACGTGACAACATGTCACTTAGACATAACCACACATCTTCAAATATCTGCATCTATAAACATTTATCAACTGATGCATTCTACATTAATTGTTGCATCTATGTCATTATAGCACTTTTGACGTGATGACACATAAATTGGATATAACCATATGTCTTCAAATGCCTGCCTTGATAATATCTAATCAAGAAGTTTTATAGTATACTAATCATTATCCTACGTTCCTGGTTTTAGTGCGACAACGTCCACAGCTACCCTATGGTTTACACCTAGGTTCGTTCACAAACTCTTGTAGTTGGTTGGTTGGCATAATAATGAATCTTTTCTTTTCTGCTTTTACATGTATTTTCTGGATTTTCTGGATTTCCTTGGTTAATTGTTTATTCATGTTTCAAAGTTTCATTTTGATAGTAAAGTTCGAACAGCGTGTATCATATAGTATATGTAAAAAAAGTTTACATTGATTCTCAATTATAAGATTTATGCATGAAAAAATTCTTTGCCAGGTTTTGTTGATTATTATGCGCAACAAACTTTTTTAAAGTTCATTAACAGAGGTTAGTGTTTATAATAAACGTAAAGACTGGACGATTATATAGTAAAATCGCTCAGGAAACCTTTTTATTAGAACGTTAAAAGTGGTTCTATATGTGTTTTTTTGAGAAATATGCAATTTTTGGCAAAACGAACGTTTGTTTACTTTCCCAATCGTGTTACGTTACACCGATTCTTGAAATGAGTGACGAAAGGGAAAATCTGTAAATCATTTCACTCATTGAGTGAGATGATTTACAGGTTTTCCCTTTTCGTATGGTTTGTAGATGGGAGATCTGCGCCACAATGATCGACAAAACCTGACAGAATTTTTTCATAATTACAGCACTTGTCGTAACAATTGGCATAAAACCACAAACCATAGTTCAATACTGTTATTCCATAATTCTGTTGTATCACAATGAAAGATAAGGAAAATTTTAAAGTTCATTAATCAATTGGGAAGACCTCTAAAGTTTGAGCTAGTTTGAGTGCTTATAGTGTGATCCCCGAAATCGGTCATACGTTGTCACGGTCTCACGTGACCGATCGTCGAAATTAGGCGGACCGTCTACGGACACGTACTGATTCACGTGATTTGCACGTACCTATTATAAATCTAGAACCTGTCATGTGCTAAAAATACTTACCCTAAAGTTAGGGTACGTGCAAGTCATATGAATTGGTACGTGTCCGTAGATCGTCCCGAAATTAGGTCCTGTCGCCTACCCGAGTAACTGGTCACATGAAAAGTAAGAGAAATCTTACTTTTATTACTTTTATTACTTTGGTTACTTCGGGTAGAACGACGGTATATGGGGCATTCGGTTTTTAGTTATTATGGTGGGGAAAGGGGTGTTAAGAATGTTATATTGTAAATAGATAATGTAGAGGAAATTATCCTCGAATGTAAACAAAAGTTTTATTATAAATAAAGGGCTTTCCGCCCAGGGGGAAAGTACCAACGGTATCCCCAAGTAATTACATTTTTGCTTAAATAAATTACAGTATCGAACCCATATTAAAAGTAAACTATAACCCAACCAAACTAAAAACTATCGTTAAACCATCTTATCCAACTATCGTTCGCCCATTTATAAATTACTAAACCGACTTAGCCGCCGTAGGTTACACGAGGATTGGAAGGAATTAGCGACAGACTCACCGAATTGCCGGCAACAATAGGTATTATATCCATACTATTAAATCTCTACGTTCGCCTGCATAAGGTGATCTGATTAGCTAATTGAACCATGTGTGCCTTGACATCAGTCTACCTTTAGAAACCTGATTGGTTGTCACACTTCTATGTCATGTTTTATTAGTGTCATGATAAATTTCAATTTAAGCTATTACGAGCAGTTGATTACCATTCAAATATTATTGGACTCCGTGGAATCATGAACGTTATAATTTTGAGCGTATCAGATATTAATCTTTAATTAATTGATACTGCTAACTTTGTAGATCATCCCTTCGTCTTATTCCACAAACCATCAATTCGTAGACAGAAAACCATTTCATGAACAGTTCATTTATGAACAAATTCATCTTACTGATAGTTCATTTCATCGACAAACCAAGTTTAAAAAATAATTTACCAACGGCACATTTCATAGACAATTTTTTACTCGTCTGGGAATTGATTGTCTGTAAAATAAACTGGATGTCGGTGAAATAAGGTGTCTATGAAGTAATATGGGTCCGTGAATGCTTCATATAGTAAAATATTTTTGAGAGGTACTGTATATATGGGGGTGAGTCAGTAGAAAAGGGACAAATTTTTTCTAAGTAAAAGTTTTCTTGACTTTAAGCTTAAATATCTTAAAAACTATTTTATTAAATTTGATA